ACAGGCCGAAATTTTCTTAATAGAGACCCAGAAACACAACAAATCAAAGAAAGGTTGGACAAATGGGATTGCATGAAATTGCAGAGCTTCTGCATGGTAAAGGACATAGCTAGCAAGATCAATAGAAAGCACATGGATTGGGAGAAGATCTTCACTAGCCATACAACGGACAAGGGTCTCATATCTAAAATATACCTGGAACTCAAAAAATTAAATCCCCCAACAACAAATCCTCAAAGAAACAACTGCCCAATAAATAAATGGGCTAAAGACTTAAAGAGAAACTTCTCTGAAGAGAAAAGGATGGCCAATAGACACATGAAGAAATGCTCAACCTCCCTAGCCATAAAAGAAATGCAAATCAAAACAACATTGAGATACCACCTCACTGCAGTTAGAACGGCAAAAATCAAGAACTCTAATAACAACAGATGCTGGAAGGGATATGGAGAGAAGGGAACCCTACTGCATTGTTGGTGGGAGTGTAAACTTGTTCAACCACTTTGGAAAGCAGTATGGAGGTTCCTCAAAAGACTCCACATAGAGCTCCCCTATGACCCAGCAATCCCACTTTTGGGCATTTACCCAAATGTTCACAAACAAGACCACACTAAAGCTACCAGCACAACTATGTTTATTGCAGACTTATTACCATAGCTAAGATATGGAACCAACCCAGATGCCCCTCAGTAGATGAATGGATCAAGAAAATGTGGTATATATACACAATGGAATTCCATGCCTCCATTGCCCCATTTGTTAGGAAATGGAAAGACTTGGAAATAATTATATTAAGTGAAGTAAGCCAGGCCCAAAGAAACATAGGTCCCACGGTTTCCCTTATTTGCAATAACTAGTATATGTCTGAGTCAAGCAGAAAAGGTCAGATAAGGGAAATGAACCCTAAGATGTGTATTCAAATTTTTTTTGCTTTCATGCAATTGTTTCTAACACATTTATAAGATTATTTCTTTGTTGCTTTGTATGTCTCTCCCCCACGGTATAAGCCCTGCTTTCACTGTATTTGATGTTGGTATAATTTGTAGAGGGGAAGGGAAAAAACAAATCCTTTCAATAGGGATACAGGTGGACCCATTGCAACAATGAGACTTACAAGTCGTTATGTCAAAAACAAACTTTACAACTTTTTGGGGGAGGAGGGTTGGGTGGGCAGGGGGAGGATGGAATGGGAAGGGGAAACAGAGGAGGAGGCTGCAATGCTTAATAACAAATGTACTCATTATCTTGCCCATGTAATTGTAACCCCCTCTGTACAATATTTTTCACAATTAAAAAAATTTTTAAAGGAAATGGAAAGACTTGGAAAAAATTGTATTAAGTGAAGTAAGCCAGGCCCAAAGAAACATAGGTCTCATGGTTTCCCTTATTTGCAATAATCAGTATATGTCTGAGACAAATAGAAAAGGTCAGATATGTTGATGTTAGGTGAAATGCACCCCAAGATAAGTATTCAAATATTTTTTTCTTTCTTGTGATTGTTGCTAACATATTTATAATATGATTTCTTTGTTGGTTTGAATGTCCCTCCCCCACGGTATAACCCCTGCTTTAACTGTATTTGATGTTGGTATAATTTGGGGAGGGGAAGGGAAAAAAACAAATCCTTTAAATAGGGATACAGGTGGACCCATTGCAACAATGAGATGTACAAGTCGTTATGTCGAAAAATGAACTTTACAACTTTGGGGGGTAGAGAGTTCAGGAGGGTGGGTTGCAGGGGGGAGGCAACAATGCTTGATAAGAAATGTACACATTATCTTGTCCATGAAATTATAACCCCTCTGTATGGTATTTTTACAATAAAAAAAGAAAAAATAAAGAAAAACAGAGTTTTCTCTAGTTGCAAATAGTTTTCATAATTGGACTTTTGATGCACCAGGTAAAGAACAAAATCACAGAAGGAATAGTAATTGTTTTGAAAATACTTTGAAATAGAAAGGAATGTTTAGAACAAGCTGGTCACATCCTCTTAGCAGAAATTCAACATTCTGTTAGGACCCATGCTTTAATTAGAAGCTGGCTGAAGCAAGAGAGCTCTCATGTAGATCTCCAGATGGCTGTAAGGAGGCCTGCGATGCCTTCAGCACACCCTTGATGTCAGGAATCACACTCTCAGGTACAGAACTATTGATCTGCAGTGAGGGGTCTCAGGAGACCTCATCAAGGTGAACACTCTAGTCCTCTAGAGTGGTCAGGCAAATTGCCCTGGCATAATGCTGAGAGGTAATTTTCTCTATCACAGTCCCTTCAAGGACTCACCAAAAGTTGTTCTAGAACAGCTCTAACTCCATGGTCCTTAGTTATCTCTCTAGAGTTTTATATATTCTTCCTAATCTGCCTAAAAGTTGGACACACTCTAAAGCCCAGGACCCTCAAATGGCTTGAGTGAAATCACACACCTGCTCACGCAGGCACACAGGGAGGTGGGCCAGGGTCTGGCGGGGCAGATGGTGCCCTTTGTGGCTTAGCTGGCCCCTGGCCTACCGCAATCATTTGCACCAGCCATCCTGCCCATCCTGTAGAACCTCTGCCCCATGTACTGGGCCTGCAAGGGCCAACTGTGCTGCCTGAGCCCACACACCTCTTTCTGGAGCTCCACTTACCAGGGATGGGCCGAGCTTTAGGCTTCCCCAAGAGCTTTTCTTGCCTTCTTCCTGCCAAGCTCTTCATCCTCCTGCTGGCAGGTGCCCTCAATCCCAACCCTGGCATACTAGAGCAGTAGGCCCTAGGGCTGTCTGGACCCCAGAGCCCATAGCAGCCTGCCAGTGGCTTCCCCGTGGTGAATACCACAAGCCCAGAGCAGCGGTGGCCAATAACAGTGTCCGTTTCTCTCAGACATGTGCTGTACCCTGGCAGGGGCTGGAGGTGGCTGTGCCCGCTGTGCTGGTCCTCAGATCCAACTCCACACCAGCCCCATGTGCATTGGGCTGGAGAGGGGCTAGGCTGGGAAGATGACAGCCTGGGGCACTGCTTAAAGAAAAATAAATGTATTGCTTATACATGTACACATTCTATTTATTACACATTGAACTAGCTCTAGTTCACATGTTGGAATTGCATTATGAGTTTCCTTTGGGACAAGTATGGATGGCATGCCATAATTTGCCAGAATTACTGGTATCCAGCATGTTGGAACTTCACTATGTGAAATTATTTTTATTTTTAAAAATCGTGAGATTTTTATACATACTTTTACTGAGATTAAGATGAGCATTCTAAAATTGGTACTATCTAGAAGATACTTGGATTTGACTATTAAACATTTACATTTTGATGTTTTAGAATTGTACAGAATATTTGAAGAGGGTGCTTGTTATCTTTTGCAAACATTTTGGAAATGCTGTAAAGTCAGATTTTTCAAGTGCAGGAAAGAAACACATTCACAGATGGGAAAAGTGATAGAATTACTGTCTTTTAACATATACCTTTAAAGATACTGCATGTCATGCAAACTGGAATGTGGCAACATTGAATGCTTTCCAAATTTTCATGGTATAGAAATGTATCAAATGTACCCCAAAGGAATGCAGACTTCTGGTTTTCCTAGAGTGCAAGAATAACAGATTCTTAAGCTTTTGAGCCCAGTTTTTGTCCATTTTTATTTTCAGTTTTGGTGCATGTCTGAGGCTTTCACTCAGGTCCTGGGTGCTGTGTCAGAGCTTTTATGCTCTAACACTTGAGCCACCGTTGAAGGTTATCCCACTCTGTACTTCTTTATAAATGTTATTGATTGAATCTTCACAACCTTATAAATACTACAAAATGGGGCATCTCATAAAAGGAAAAGGTTAGGTTGAAGAAGTTCCTGATGATACTTGGGATTTAAAGGGTACAACCATGATTTAAGATTGACCGTCCAGGTCTCAAAGGGTGTGTTGCTGGGAATCAAATCTAGGTTATTGCATATGCTAGGCAAGCACTGTATCACTGAGCCACATTTCCCATTCCCACAAAGGCATCTTAAATCACATTAACAAAGTGTAATCCATTAATAGTAGGCTTACATGTTTTGTTTTTCTTAGGTTTGCTTTAAAGTATGGAAGTTATGGCTTGTTTGCTACTGCACTGCAAATTGTTTACTTTGTAATTGATGGCAATCTAAACATGTTTTAAAATTAACTGTTAGGTAGGATTGTTTGTTCATGTCTATAACTCTGTAACCCTGGCTATCAGAAGGCTGAGGTCCCAGGATACAGGCCAGCCCAAGTAGCATAGACTATAAAACTCTTACTTTTGATTGACCAACATGATGCCCAAAGTAGAACTGTGACTCAAGTGGTCACTACCCTTTAGCAAAGAAAGAAAGAAGGAAAGGGAGAGAAAGAAAGGAAGGAAAGAAAGTGATAATGGGGGGAAGGAAGGAAGGAAGGAAGGAAGGATAGATTTAAGGAAGCAAGGAAGGAAGCAAGGATGGATTTAAGGAAGCAAGCAAGCATGCAAGAAAGAAGGAAGGAAGGAAGGAAGAAAAAAGAAAACATAAAAGCTCAGAAACAGTGGCCAGACATTGTATTAGTACCACATACAAAATCATTAACTTCCGATCACTTATGGCTCATTACTGTAATACTAGGGAAGCAGAAAGCTAAAATCTGAGGATTGCAGTTTATAGCCAGCCTGAGGAGATAAACTGTAGAAACTCTTATCTGATTAACCAATCAAAGGACAAAGGTTAAAATATGGATGAATGGCAGAGCTCAAGTCTTGAGTGAATAAGCTAAGGAAGAGCTTGTTGTCCTGAGTTCTAGCCCAGAAGTGAAACAAAAATCAAATGTCAAAGTTGAAAATAATGTTCAAACAAATAGTGCTTTCATGTGTTGAAAGTTTGTGGAGAATAAAATTACTTTCCTTACCATTTATAACCAAATCTTCACTTGCCAGCACTAACATTGCACTAATAAAGTTAAGGCTCAGCTGCTGATTTGGATTTGTTCTATGTCTCAATGAAACCTTAGGTTCTTGAGCAACATATATTTATTTACCTTTTGCATTTCTCAAATAGTAATGAGTTTGTCAGGTAGCAAGTACCCACATTGATAGCAAACTGAGTAAAGCCCAGTAGGGTAAGCTTATATCTCTTTATTCACCTCTGTTGCCAGCATGGATTTAAAAAACTATATCCCCAAATAAACATTCTGTGGTTGTACTAAACTGTACTCAATAAAATTTCCAAGAATCTGGATCAGTTTGCATCACAATTGGCATAAGCATCAGGATTCAGAACAGGCCAAGTGCTTCCTCATGCCCCATACCAGGGATGATCGTGGGCATAGCTATCAGGGACCACAGGGTACCCCATGGCAGCATCTCCCTACACCACCAAAGATAGAGGACAGGCAGTTACAGCAGAGATATGGTGCTGTGGACCCAGGGGAAAGTGCTGGCCAGCAGAGCAGCCAGGAGAGACAACATGGAGCCCTGGCTACCACCTCTCTGTTACTCTCAGGTGAATCTAAGCTCTAGAGGGCAGCCATGAATTACCTGAGCCCATGGGCCAGCTGACACTGGGAGGAGGGGAAAGGCTGGGCTCCAGGGAGTAGGTGCCATGAAAAAGCAGCTCAGGCCATGTGCAGACCTGATGGTTCACTGATCTAGGAGAGAGAAATGAAGGGAAGCTAAGCCAAAGCTTAGCTACTAGAGTGCTACACCATGGGTAGGCACCCCTACTTGGCTGGACAGTGACTGGGTGAGTGTCCACCACATGTAGTGGGATCTGTGGCAACACTTGTGAAAGTTGATACCAAACCTGTGCCTCCCAAATCAGAGGAGGACAGCAAGGCAGGGAGCAAACAGGACCAGGGAGAGGCAGGGACCCAGCAGGAATACAGGGGACTGACCCAGACCCCCACAGAGGGAGCCTGAGCGGGTGTCAGAGGGCTGTACCACCTCCATACCAACACTCCAGAGGTTGATGCAGGGGGAAGTGTTTGAAGACATCTTGGACTAAATAGAAAGCCCTCTCTCAAAAAAAAAGACAAGCAAGTAAATAATTCCACCATGCCATTCTGTTGATATACATTGTAGTATATATTTCTCTTAGATTATGCATAGTAGATTGGCCATGGCTCAGGGAAACCTGATTGTCCCTCCTCCTCAGCTGGGTTAGTGCTTTGTGGACGGCTCCAGTCTCCTATTTCTGTGGTGACATTTGTAGATGAGTTTTGTGAAGCCTGTTAATTTCTGTGTGTGAATTCACTGATTTTTCTGTTCCTTTGTCTCTTGTCATCACTGGCCCAGAGATGGTCCCTTAACTCCTCAATGTCAGCAGGGTCCCTTTCCATGAAGTACTCCCCTGATTTCTAAATCTGATCCCCTCCCAGAGGCAACAAGGTATGTAGGGACAGTCAAAAACACCTCCTCCAACCTTGAGTGTCATTGCTGTTTCCCTGGAAATATTGTTAAAGACACCCAAACATCAGATTTTGTTCCATGGTCTATGGGAGCAACTAGGACATCCAGTCCCAGAATTGCTTGCATCATATCATGGCAGCAACCAGTTTAGTGAAACAGATTTGAACACTTGCTCTCTGCAGGGTGGCCATACCCTCCTTCATTAGAGAGGGAAAGGGTGGCATCATTCCTTACTTCTCCAAAAAGTTGACTGAACTGTACATACTAAATGATTTTGAATTTCACATAAAGTGGAAGAGTGTCTTATTTAAACTAGAGAAGAAAATAAAACCACAATGATTATGGTGGAAACATTTTATTATAAATAACAAGTCTACATTTCCTATCTATAATATCTAAACATTTATGATATCTACACGTTGCCCTACCCAGTCAGTAGCACTGTGCTTCCTGCTCCTTCTACAAATGCTAACTATAAACAATAAATAGATACAGTGCCAAATGCTTCCAAAAATTATATCCATATGATCTCTAATGCCCAGGATGCTTTTTCTGTATGGAGTGGCATGTTAATTTGGCAAGCCATTGATTGTCTGCCGTTGAGTAGTAAAGACTGAGTTCTAGAAGAGGCCTTCCCTCTATGGTGTCTGGAGCCCTCGGGTTTGTTTTGAGCCACACTCACTGTCAGTCAGCCCTGACAGGAGACTCTTCAGTGCAGCCTACTAAAGGCTAGAATGACTAAAAGGCAGGGAGGCTATCTCCTGGGTCCCTTGAAGTCTCTTGAAGTCTCTGGGCAGGATGATAGAATGGAAAGTCATATAAGTTTGGTAAGAGAGTGCTCTGCGGAATCCACAGGCAAATGTAGTAGTGACCTGCACTAGAGAAAGATGTCAGGTCAAGACTCGTGGGCATTCCTCCACCCTCAACAGGAGCTGGCCCCTGAGGCACTTCCGGGAGTCCCGGATGATAGGACACTGTCCAGTTTCAAGTGTAATTCTGACAGAAGGAGGAGACTGTGGATATGTGATTCTGAGTGTGACCTGGACATGAGCAGAGTGGCAAGTACAGTGTGGCTTGGGGACTTGAGTTTGGAAGTGCTTAGTTGGAGGCCAACCAGGGGAGACACCCACTAATGGTGTCCTGCAGTTTCTCCATCCTTCCTCTTCCTGTAGGGTGGACCTGGCTCCTTGCTTGACTGTTGCTCCGGGGAGTAGGTCGACTTTTGCAGCATAAAATTATACTTCGCCATGCTGTTCATGGCATAGAAAAGATTAGCATCCCCAGGGATCCTCAGCTCTGGTGGAAGAGGGACAGAAAGCTAGTAAGCAGCACTGACAGACATGGAGACATAATTCCTTGAGAGCCTCCTCAGATTAGGTCTGACCCATGGCCTTTAATATCTCCAATCCAGATCTAGGAAGACCAATGCTATGACTCTTGCCTGGCAACAGACTCTGCTGACTGCTGACCTCTAGCCTGTCTTGCTCAGAAAATAAGTAGGCGTCCATGATGCCAGCTCATCCTGCAAGTGTCACAGGCTATTCCTATCCTGCTCTCACTGCTGCCTGTGTTACCAAATCTGCAAGAAGAGCAGGCTTTCCAGAATGGAGATTCCCTGCTGGGAGTATTGTCCTACTGAGAACAAGGACTCCAAGGACCACAGAACAGCAAGCATTGACCCAAACCTTTTGCAATTGCTTCTGGGGTTCTCCCACACAGTGAGCTCAAGCCCTCAGCAGGTCCTGGCTTTGGGCTCTTATTTGAGATCAAGTGTTCTCTGTCCTGGAGTCTCCTGTCACTTTATCTGGGCTGGACTCAATTTCTGCCAACATTGTTGTTTCTCATTGTCATTCATTACCCTCCCCAGGCCTCTGTCTTACTATCCTGAAAGAAGAGACCCCATACTGCTTTCATGGTAAGAACATAGTAAGAAACATTTTATGACAGATCCTCTAGGAACTTGCAATCAATGCTGGCCATCTACACAAAGAGCCTGGTGGATTCCTCAGTTCATTATAAAAACAGCACATTGGGTCTTTGTCCTTTGCAGCAGTGATACTTAAAAGACAATATTAGAAATGAACTTTGCAACTTTGAAGGAGCAGGGGGAGGGGGAAAGTGGGAGAAAAATGAGGGATGGTAAACATATTCCACAAGAAATGTACTCATTACATATACAATTATGACCCTCTGTATATCACGTTGACAATAAAATTAAAAAGCAACAGAGCAATGACACCATGCATTTGCCTTTGTGGTCCATGCAAATATATTTCTTTTTCTGTCTTTCTGTTTCTCTGTGTGTGTGTGTGTGTGTGTGTGTGTGTCTGTCTGTCTGTCTGTCTCTGTCTCTGCCTCTATCTCTCATCTCTACCTAACCTCTTGTCTTCTGTCAACCTCCTTTAGAAGAACACACAGGAAAGAAGTTTTGAAACCTCCTCCTGGTCTCAGAAAGCTTGCTCTGGGGCTACACATCTACTGGATTCTGCTTTTATTCCTCTGTGAATAACTGTGCTGACTCAGCTCCTTATTGCATGCTTTCATGTCATTTTCATGGATTTGTGTCATGAACTTTGACATGCTCAAATTGGGTTTGGGAGTGGTTTGGAGGAAACGTTTTGAAAAGTCCTGGGAATAGATCAAGCATGTCATGGATGCTAGGCAAGCAGTTCTTCATGGAGCTACACCCCCAGTTTCAGATTCCTTCTGCTGTCTTCATTCCACAGTTTAGTCAGCAAAGTCTCTTCTAATGAGCAATCTGGCCACCCTGACACATGGAGGCTGCCTTCTATCCACTCCTTACTCTCTTTGCACTGCCCCTTCCCTTGATAGGCAGGGCAAGCATAGATATATCCACCAACTTGGGCAGTGACGAGATCTGAAGCATCTGATATTGGCTTGGAGCATTGTGTTAGGTACACAATGTCCACCACTAGATTGCTGCACCCTGACTTCGGGCTGTGTACATGCTGACTCCCTTATGCCATTACTCAGTGACTTACTTCTATCCTCTGATATGATCTGGACCAGCTCCAAGTGCTCTGGCTTGTAACCATGCGAGAAATGTTTCTTCATGGCCTTCAGGATGATATCCCGGGTCTTCTCCTGGTTCGTCACCTGTTCAGAACAGGAGAGAAGACATCAGTGTGAAAGCCCGGTGTGCCTTCCCAGAGTTCAGTGGACAGGGATCCTCTGGATCAAACGCACACTAAGCACAGAAATCACACATGCTGTCATGGAGCATTTCGTCTATTCCTTACTGGGAGTGATCTCCACATAAACAACAGTGGTACTTTCCCAACTATTCCTAGTTCTACCTGCTCCAAACTCCTTTTCAGTTATTTGCCCTGTAGGAATAATAACAAGATTGCCCATTGCAAAAGGAAACAACTTCCTCTTGTTCAACCCAATGGAAGGAGGGGGTTAGTGCAATGGCCAGTGCCTCCAAGCCAGGCTTGCTCTGGGCTCAAGGATGCAGTGGTGGGCACTTCTGTGACTCCCCCGAGGTTCAGAGCTCAGGAGAGAAAAAACACAGAGTCTCCCAGGTAGCTGTGTATGACTGCCATTCTAGCATCTGGCTTAGAGGGAACAGAACAATATGGGGTGTCATGGAATGCAACTCCAGCATGAGGAAGGACAATCTATCAAGACCATTCCCAGTTGAGGACTTGGGGGAAGCCAGAGACCTCTCATGTGAGTACAGCCTGTTGCCTCCATGGTTAATACCATGCAGGTTCTGAGCACTGTATTCCCCCAAGGCCAGCAGCTTGCTAAGACCTCCTGTCTTCCAACCTAGATTTGAATGTGACTATCGCCTACTCAGCAGCCTTCTAACATCTGAGAAATAGGTGAATTTCTCTCCCAGCCAACTGATCACATCCATTGCTACCTTATTTGCTACAAAAAGTAGAGTCTTGGTCTGTCTTCACTGTACATTGTGAATGTTATAGTTTGGTTCTGCCCTAGACAATCCTGGATGTCATTTACATGAGTCCCGTTTCTTCTCCTCAAAGCTACAGTTCCACTCCTGCCTGCAGGCTGTGTGCACTGCTCCCAACACCCCTTTCAGCTCAAGCCCTGAGCACTACATTTCTTCTGCACCATGGTCAGTTCTTCACCATTCACTACAAGGTCAAATTCAGGAAGGAATGGAAGGTAAATGGGAGTCTCACAGTTGGAGTACACCAAGAAGAATGCCATGTTTCCAACGTACCAGGATGCTTTTGTATACATTTCCTGTGTCCTCTTGTAGGCTCACCCTGATAACACAGGAGTCTCCTATCTGCTGATTATACAAAGGCATGGTGGAGCTCTTGCTTCTAACCTCAGACACAGGGCTCTTGATATTGCCTCTGTTAGCCTCAGATTTGGTAGAGGCTGAGGGTGTGGAGGTGGTGATGGAAGACAAGGAGGTCTCTGAAATTCCTGGAGATGAGGGGCAGGCTGATTTCCAGACCTGTGGTGGACAGCAGCAATGTCAGGAGAAGCCAGGACATTTACAAGTGCTCCAGTGTGGCAGCCAGTGGAATTTTGGAACTGAATTTTTGGGGTTCATGGTATGGATATAGAGAAGGCTGGCACTGGGAAGGAGGGGTATGGGAAGGGCCAAAGTCACCTTTTCCCGGAATTCAGAGGATTCTTTGTTGAGGCTCCTGTTGAGGTCTCTGTGGGAGCTAGATGAGCCAGCCAGCTTCCTGTTACTGTGTGAGGTCACTTCCGGGATGTCCCCACTGCTGATGTTAGGGCCACACTTGGCCTGATCCAGTGGTGTGGACTGGGAGCTTCTACTGGTATTGAGGTCAGTTTTCTGGGCCTGGCAGCTTTAGAGAAGGCCAAGTTTACTGGGAGGAACTTCACAAAGACACAAGAACCAATCCCTGGACACCAATACACTCTGTGATTGGTGCCCCATTCAAGGATCTTGGTCCATCACCAGCTACCTTCCTCCTTCCACAACTGAAGGCCCATAGAGACGTGACAGTGGAGGAAGTGAGAATCAGAGACCAAGGACTCTCAGCCCAGGAACAGGGCTTGCCATGGAAAGGTATCACCTGGATATCTGGCTCCTGTCTCCCAGCCCAGCATGTTCCCTGGCCCCTGCCCAAAAACGCCCATGCACTTACTTCTTCCAGGCCTTGCCAATGCCAAAGCGCTTCTTGGTATTAAGGCTTTTGCTGTTATTCTGGGTCCGGGGCTCCAGTGCAAGAGACAGGTCATAACTAAGGAAATGGATGGTTTGAGCTGACAGAATAGCATGCTTGGGCCCTTCCCAGTGTCTGCCTGAACTGTAGAACCTGGTATCAGTTGCTCACTAGGCCCCATAGAGTGTCACAGTGACACAGGTACAGACCTAGGCTCTCAGGACTCCATCCTAGGGACAACCCCACTCGTGTTGCCCTGTGGTTCCAGCTCACCTGGCCTTCTCGCTGAGCCGCTCTAGGCCCCTGAACCAGGTAAGAAAGTGTTGTTCTGGTGTGAAGGTATAATAATTGCAGGTGGACTGCAGCTGCCTCACCTGCTCCATCACATCGAATTCCTGGTGAGGACAGAAGAGGATGGTGACATGACTGGGCTGTGCTGGGGAATGGATTTCTGCTCTCTGCAATGGGAGCCCCTCATCTTCCTCCCACCCAGGTTCTCCCTGTTTGAACGTGATTGCTTACACAGTCAGTCTCTGGATGCTCTCCTCGGTCCCACCTCAGACACCCAGCTTTCTGCTGGAGGTGCCTAGCCTCTCTACCAAAGGTCCACCACGTAACTCGAGTGAATACACCTGATAATCCAACCCTGCTATGCCCATCTACCTGTGTGGACAGTTGTAACTCACCTTTCTCAATTTCTGGAAATTAATCACTCCCTCCTAAAAGGCAGACAGGAATGTGGTTAGAAATGGCCCTCCTGCCTGCCTGGGCTCTTCTACCTCTGGAGGCAGGACACATATACAGGAACTGAGTGAGGGCAATTTGCAGACAGGGACTTTCTTCTCCTTAGACCTTCCCTAGGGACTGCAGTTCTGAGACCCAATTGTCTAAATCTTGTGAGGGACTTGGGTTTCAGGTCAAAGGCTTTGCTAGACCACATTCTGCATGTCTTTCAACCTTGGCTATACTCTCTTTTCCCCAGCTAGTCTTGAGGAATTTGCTGTTCCAGCTGAGTATCTGCCTCTGTCTCAGGCAGCTCTGAAAGTCACAGACAAAATTGGGTGCAGTGTTCTGCTCAGAGAGGAGATGGAAGGCTCTCAAGAATGCTAGACCTAAGAACTCAATAGGGGGACTTTTTCTCCTGGACCCAGGCCGCCAACTCTGCCCTGGCTACTCACATCCAGGAAGTCCTGAAAGGCAGCGTCAATCATCATGAGGTCCTTTAGGATAATTCCTAGGTAGGGAATAGTGCCCTTGACTAGCACCTGTAAGATTGGTAGAGATGGTAAGTTAGGCCCAGGGATCCTCTCCCAAGAGGTGCTCAGTCATTCCAAGCCCCACAGGGGCTTTGTTATCAGAGTAGCCTAGGGATCATATGGCAGTTCTGTGTTGAGCTCCTCCCCTGCAGTTGGAACTCCAAACTGCATCTGCATCAGGTTATGTCCCATACTGGCATTAAAGAACCCCAGCTGGTGTAGCCTGTGCCACCCAGCCTCTCTATAGATTAAGTCCTGGTTCTGGTGGGTCCAGCACCTCTTCCACAATGAAAACAGGGCCAGAATGCTGAAGACATGGAGCCCATTTCTCAGGGTGCATATAGAGGAGTGGGGAAAAGGTAAAAAGATCTCCAGGGGAACTCTCTTCTCTTACACAGCTGGGACTTTGGGCACCGTTACTCACCAACTCCTTTGACAGCCGCAGACCTCTCTTGGCCTTCTTCTTCTTGGTGGCAACTATGGAAGTGTCCTGCCATGATTGGGAGTGGAGTTAAATAGGTCTTTCTCCTATCCACAATCATCCAAGACCATGAGCACAGAGTTCCCTGGTTGTCTGTGACAAAGGGCCCACCATCTGGCAGGCTGATTCTAGCTCAGTCTCTACCTGAGTTCCACTAATGTGGGATCCCAAGTGAGGAACCTGGCCTCACTGTGACTGTTTCCTCTTCTGCAAAGTGTGTGGGAATACACCTGCCTCAGGGGGCTGGGAGTACTCAGTATCTTCCCCCACCAGTGGTGCTGTCCTGATTAGCACCTGGACCAAGGCCTTTTCTGAACTCTTGACATCCCTTTCTGCCCTGGACCTCATCTTCTCTTATGAAATAAACTTAAAGCGCTTCATAGCTTTGTATGCCTGATGAAAATAGTGAAATGCATAGAGGACTGGCAACTTGTCCAGTGCCCTGTAGCTATACAAGGGGAGGAATCCTTCGGCCTCATCAGGCTATTGACTAGGGTCTTGTGCTCCAGCCCTTTGGTGTGTGCCAGGGTGCCTAGAGTAATTGAGGCTCAAAAAGAGAGGAAGACTGAAGTTTTCTGCCTGGCCCAGGTGACGAATTCTCTGTCTTTGCACTGGGCCCAAGTCTAAAGCCATTTTTTTTCTAACCCCACAAATCCTCTACTATTCTCCCATGGAAGTCAATTCTATTATTACACTTGAATTGGGGCCTTTGTCAGGGCCCCTGATGTGGATAATTATGAACTGTGACTGAGGAAGTGAATCTTGCTTCCTTGTTACAAAGGTAGCTGCTAGAGAGTTTAGGAAAGACACTCAATGAGGTGACCATTCCCTCTTAATTTTTAAATCAGCTAGGCTCTCCACAGATCCACCTGTGTAGTACCTACATAGCTTTTCTGTGTTCAACAGCAGCAACTGCTCTAGAGTACACCACAGAGCCAACACAGTGCCTCCCACGTTACAGCCTGAGCCTGGATGTTTTGGCTCTAACCCAATGACTTCCATGTCCATTTGGCCCAGAGCAGCACTGAGAACCACAGCGGCACAGTGTAGCAGGAATCTCCCCAATGAAGTCCAGCCAACATTGATGACAGCAGAAGCCAGGGCTCCTGGGGACTGCTGGGACCTGTGTCTTGGCAAACGGACTCAACCACTCCATTAACACAGTCTAATAATATATAATCCCAGTAGGAAGAAAGACACCCCAATCTGGGTTCAAGTGTCTTCCAGAGATACCCTATCTTCCTGAAGTACAACTATTGTGAGAGGCCTCTGATCACTGTCTAAGCAGCCTCCTCTCTCTTTAGTTCAGATGACACAGAATTGAAAAATTTCAAAACACAGAGAGATAACAACACACACTTGTCCTCTCCTCACCCCCCCCCTCTTACCTTGAATAGCAGTTCTCTGCACCTGGTGTGGTTATTATCTGGAGAAATTATCTCTGACAGTTTGTGAAATCTTTGGAAGCTATCCCTACAGGAGGAGACAAGAGAAAGGGACAGTTGAAAAGATGGGGGATGAGAGAGTGGATGTCCATTTTGTTTTAAAACCAAGACTTCCAACTGCCTGGACAAGAGTGTTAGAATACATCTTTTGAATCTTATGGATGCATAGGCTTGGAGAAAGTTTTTCATCCTGGCAAAACTCGGGTGCTACTTCTTTACCAAAATGTAGCTCTGGCTTGATTTCAAAAAAGCAGATCAGTGGCAATCCAAGAAACCTAGCTACCTCCTGTGTGTCTCCAGGTTTAGACAGACAGGGAGCTGGTCCCTGCCAAAGACAGAACAAAGTGAGTCTCACAGCCAAGGAGCCCATGATCTGTTGTTGAGGCCCCAGATCTTAGTTTGGATGATGCCAGCCTTTGTGTCGGCACAGCTCCTGCAGAGAGAGGACCCACCTGGAAACCATTTCCCAGGTCCTCTTCAGGCGGTGGATGGAAGAGCTTTGCAGTGCAGAGATGATGGCAAACATGGAGGAGAAGTTCCTCAGCACTAGGCACTCCTGGGGAGAAAGGCTGTGTGAGATGTGGATGATTCTAACACCAGATTTTACCATGGTTGCTGGTTTAGCCTCTCATACTTAGGTTTCGGGAGAGATCAGGGAGTACAGCAGGGAGTATAGGACAAGTAGGCAAGATTTTACATGGCCCAAGATATGGGTGAGCACAGAGACAGTGAGTGGCCTGCTAGAGGAAAGATTGTCTATGGGGAAGAAGGACTCAATCCACACAGGTCTCTGAACACAGTCAAATCCTGAGGATAAGAGGTAGAATAGAGAGTCCCTGGTCGCCACATGTATCATACCCAGGCCACCTTGATCCACTGCTGCACCAGAAGAGCTCTGTCTGGGGCCCTCATGCTGTGATCCCCAAGACAGCTTGTGATTACACAGGATGACACGCTGTTGAAGTGTGTGACGTTAGCCCAGACGGTTGGGGCTAAGTGCTCCTTGACCTTCTTGTCACTCTTGGACCAGATAGAGCCCAGGCACTGGTAGGGCACTACCTTTTTGAATAGTTCCTGGGGAAGAGAATGGTGTCACCTGGCCTTGTCATAGATTGCAATTCCAGGTGCAGGCTGGGATGACTCTAGTAGGAGATGGAGCTAGGGAAGTGCACAAGGTGATCTGAGCCTGTGGGAAGCTCTGGGTCTGGTGTGCTGACCACCTAGAACAGCCAACACCTGAGTATCATAGAAGAAAACATAGGTGGGAAAGTGAGAGTTGTATTTTCTCTACCTAATCCCAGTCTATCTAATTGAAATTAGCTCTGTCTGCATGGCCTTGGCCAGCAGGGTCTACCCTCATATAGCCACTTCAAGCCTGTCTCCTGGTGCACATGCAATGTCTACCTTTTGTAAAGGCCAGACTTGTCTTCCCTAACCTGTGATAAAATAGGTGCCTAAAACGTCCTCATGCTGGAGAGGGTTCCTGGAATGAGGATGAGCTATAGGCCTGGCTGCCCCTGGGAGGGGAGTGGGTCTCATCTCTTATGATTCCATGTCAGAAATTTGCTTTGGCATGGTTAGGTATTGTGGAGCTGGGATTTAGACAAGGCCGTGGCCCCGGGACGAAGCAGCTACAGAACAGGTAGCAGAATAGAGCAGGTGCCCCATCCTCCCTTCATCCCTGCCTAGGACCTCACCACATCCATCATGGTGAGTTGCTTGGCCACCAGATCAGGAGGAAAAGCCAAGAAATCCAGCTTCTCCTTGTTCATACAGTTCTGGGAGGTTCCACAAGAAAGACTTGAAGGGTCTCCTGAGGAACCTGATGCCTCCTCAGGCTCTGAATCAATGGAACCTGGGACTGCTGTGCCCAGCTCTGGAAGAGGTTCTGCATAGGGCTTAGGCTCTTGACCCACAACAGGATCTGTCTCCAGCTCAAGAGCAGGTGCTGGAGCTGACTCTTGTTCCAGCTCTATACATGGTATTGGTTCTGCTGCTGAGGTTGGCATCAGAGCCACAGACTCTAGGTCTGAGCTAGCTGATGATGGTTCTCCTGCTGTGCTAGCCACCAGAGCCACAGGTGGAGTTGGCTCCAGCTGTGAAGCTGAGGCCAATTCTCCTGCTGGGCTTTCCACACAAACTGAGGCTTGTGCTAAATCTGAATTGGGCTCCCACTCAGAACTAGAGCCTTTGACTCCCACTGGGCCAGGCACCAGAGGCACAGATGGAGCTAGCTGGCTCTCTGAATGTGACACTGGTTTTCCTGTTAGGCAGGGAACCACCGCTGCAGGTTGGGTTGGCATCAACTCTTCGTAAGAATTTTGGGCTGGTGAAACACCTGGAAGAGGACATAAGATTCTTCACATTACTGCAATGCTCTAAGTGTTTTCAAAGGTAGAGAAGACACCGTCTGCCCCAAAATTTCCAGTTCCTCACTTTCAATAGGATACCTTCTAAAATGCCTCCTACCCACTGTATCTCTCAGGTTCCTTCTTGCTTCTAATTCTATGCCACACTTAACTATGCCTCCCAGTGTGGCCCTGCCCTGACTCCCCTTCTCCCCTCCCTGTTCCCACCCCTGGATTCTCACCCTCAGACTCAGCCTTGCTGAGCTCCAGGGCCTCCATCTGGCCCAGGAGAGTGTTGACACGAGATATCACGTCAGAACCAGGCATGTACGACTGCAGGTAAGCCATTAGTTTCTTGAAGCATGAACTTTGCAGAGGTTGGCAGAAATCCTCTGAGTACAGATCCAGCCAGGTGCCCAAGATGGAGGAGATGGCACTGGGAGGAGAAAAGGTGTGCAGCTGAGTCTGAGGCCTGGCCTCTCCTTCTTCCAGTGAATTCCCTGAGCACCAATGGGACAGGGATTAGGGCCAGTCCCTCTCCATCCAGTGTTTAGTGGACTCTACCCCAAGCCACTCTGGCTGGCAAGGCGGGGCAGACCAGGTTAGCCAGGCCAGAGCTGCAGAGAATACCCAGGCATGGATCCCATGATCAGTACTCTGAGCAGTTCTCTTGTTTTCACCAAGTATCACAGCCTCTAATCTCTCTCTCCCCACTAAAATAGTCTCCAAATGGCTTGTCCCACATGTCATGCACAGGATCCTGATGGCACCACAGCTGATGCACTGCTGCCTCATTATCTGTACCACATGTAATGTGTCATTCTCCTGAAGATACAGCCTGACCCCAGGCTCTCACTGAGGGTTCAATGCCCAGCAGCAAGGCCTCCACACTTTTCTGTGTCACCTGATTAATGATGGGCTAGCCTGGCTGGAATATACTATAGGGAAGATGGATTCTTCCAGGGGTTTCTTCTGAGCCCTTAGGTATCCCAGTGTTGCCTGGTGCTCCAGAGTCTCGTGTTTTTCTTCTAAACCAAATCCTTTCACCTCAAGGCTCCAGTACAACATAGGTTGGAAGAAAGACAGCTGGTGATGGAAAAATTTGCTGTCCACTGGCAGAAAACTGAAACTAGAGCCTTATACATCAGTTTGCACCAGAATCAATTCAAAATGGATCAAAGATTAGGTCAAGACAGAAACCATGAAAACATTACAGGAAAGGGGAGTGGAAACATTAGAGCTCCTAGGCACAGATCAGCCTTTCTAAGTAAAGATCCAGAATCAGAAGAAACCAAAGAAAGACTGGACAAATGGCATTTCTTCAAAAGTACACTTTCTGCATGTCAAAGGACATATATAACAAGTTAAAAAGAAGGTCTTGAACAAGGGATTAATATCCAAATATACTGAACAGCTCACAATATTAAACCTCATCAAATAAACTTTCAAAAATAAACCACCAAATTAATTAATGGGCTAATGAGTTAAAGAGAGAATTCTCAGAAGATGATGTAAAAATGGCCAATGGACACATGAAGAAATGTTCAGCATGTCTGGCCATAAAGGAAATGCAAGTCAAACCAACAGTGAGATTCTACCTCATGTCAATTAGAATGGCAAAAAATAAGAAAACTAACAATAACAAATCCTGGCATGAATATGGACAAAAGGGATCTCTATTATACTGTTGGTGAGATGGTAAGCTTGTTTGTCCACTCTAGAAAGCAGTATGGAATTTGCTCAAAAATGTAACATAGTGCTACACAATGACCCAGAAATTCTTCTCTTGGGCAATCATTTAATAGAAGAGAAAACAGGGGCTGGGAAGGTGGCTCAGTGGTAGAGCGCTTGCCTTGCATGCATGAGGCCCTGGGTTCAATTCCTCAGCACCACATAAGCAAAAAGAAAAAAAGCTGGAAGTGGTGCTGTGGCTCAAGTGGTAGAGCACTAGCCTTGAGCTGAAGAGCTGAGGGACAGCACCCAGGCCCAGAGTTCAGGCCCCACGACCAGATAAAAAAAAAGAAGAAGAGAAAACAGTCACACTAAAGCTACCAGCACAAACATGTTTGTTACAGTATTATTTACTGTAGCCAATATATGGAATCAGCCCTGATGCCCTTCCATGAATCACTAGATCAAGAAAATATGGTATATATGCATATTGGAATCCTATGCATCCATCAGAAGGAATGATATTGTACCATGGGAAGATTTGGAAAAGGATGTATTAAGTCAGATCCAGAAAACAAAGTTTGTATGGCCTCCCTCCTTTGAGGTAACTAGAATGTGCCTATGAATCTACAGATAAACGTACTGCATGGTAAGCAAAGGTAACCAATGAGTTAACTGAAGTTTGATGGAATCTATGGAGAGCAAAGATCGCATAATTCTGTAAAAAGTCTAAGTCAAACCCGACAAAATCAATATCAGCAACTGGGTACTTGCAAGAGGACAGAGTGGGGACAAGGGGGGAGCAGTTGAAGAATGAATGGGGGAAATGGAGAGAATGCAGGCACAAATTCATTGTACATGTCTCAGAATTGATAAAAATACATAATCTAGAGTCAAGATAAGTAAGGGAAGGGGTGGGTTGGGAATGGTGTATGAGAATGCTGAAAGAGGTGACATTGATCAGGATACACTGGATTCATAAACTGTTTTGGTGAATGACAGCTCCTTTCTACAACTATGTACAATCATAAAATGTTTCAAAAAAAAAAGAATAGCAAGAGTTTGGGACTCCACTGTTTGTCTTTTCTATTAAGGACACAAATGTTCTCACTCCGGAGATAGATGTTTCCAGCCCTTTGACCTAAGGCCCACTTACTTTCTGAGCTGGTCTTGTGGGATGATCTTCTCAGAGGAATAGGGAAGGATTTCACCATCTCTATAGGAGTCCAAGAGGGCTTCACACCTGCGGAACCTGTTTAGAATGTTCAGTGTTACTGGCCATCAACCCATGTCTTGGATTTCAAGACAGAAAGGATTTACTTGCTCTTCTCACCCAACTATGATCAGTGTTTGGAAATCTGCGCTTCTAATGTAACTGGATCTTCTCTATTTGTAATAGGGAAGAGCCCAACCAGCTCCTTTTCAGATAGTTCAGTGTGCCAGAATGTCTACGTACTGGTTAGAGGCACCCCTCTCAGATATAATGTGAAGTCCCTTTTTTAAAAGCTGCTTTGCCTGAGGCCTTGGGTATGTGCTGCAGAAGGACAGAGCTGCTTTCTAAGGAAAACAGGTCACAAGGAAGAGGCTGAAGTCCTAGGCAGCCTGCTCTCCAGGGACAGACTAGGCAAGCACTGCCAAGGCTCAAACCATATCACCCTGCCAGGACACTAAGACAGTGATTTAGGCAGTACTTCCCAGGATCAAACTAGGGATCAGAGTTTCAGGCCATTCCCCAGGTTCCACTTAGTGGTAAGGAGACCCCTGATCTTGAACTAGGTGCTCACCTTATGAACAGCAGGTCCAGCACCTGCTGGGCATTGGTAAACCTTCTGTAGCTGGACAGAAAGGTGGGGATGAAGAAGGGCTCCCCCGTCAGCTGGGCAGGCACCAAGTGGTCCACCAGCTCTTCCAGTGTGCCTGCACTAAGTGTCTCTGCCCACTGGGGCTCACCCATTGTCATTTTATTTTCATCCTAGAAGGAGACCAAGAAAGGTCAACTCAAATACTAAAGGTGGCAAACTTTAACACCCATTTCCAGAGTATAGAGATACAACCTAGAGAAAGGGTTGTCACACACACACACACACACACAAAGACACACACACACACAAACAGAGAGAGAGAGAGAAAATTGGTGATGATCAGGGATTGGCTGGCTATCCTTTAACTGACACTCTATCAGCTTTGTGTTCACCTGGGATAATCTCTCAGGATTATTGGGTTTGGGGATAACCCAGCATCTCCAGACATGGGTGAAGCCCCTTCTTTGGTCTTCCATTATGCATGAGCCAAAACAACTTGGGAGACACCAAACAGCAGGATATATCTTGCTTTCTCCACAGCCTCAGCACCAGTGAACTGGCTGGGGCTGTTGTGGATTCTGGCTACCTAGGCAACAGGGTTCTGAGTTCTACCTGACCCTTCATCAAGGAAGTGAGGTCATCTCCTCTACAGGTACCTTCACCTGAATTGTACCTTCACATAAGACATTCTCAAAGGTGCCCTGTGTACAAACACTTGCCAAGAAGAGCACAAATACAGCTGTACACAATTCTACCCACTCACCCTAGTCAACTGTCCCTGGGCTTGTCTGGGAGGACACTGCTGTGTTCAATCTGTCCCAACTATCAAAGAGATGTGGCACTGGAGGCAAAACTGTTTCCCTCACCACCTCTCCTATATCCCTACTTGTACAAGGAGTCCCTCCAGTTTATGCTACCTAGAATGTCATCAAGCATGTGGACATGCTTGTAGGTGTCTGATTGTTCTTTTTGACTGTAAGCATACTGTACAGATGGTTACAGTTAATGATAAGGTAATGAGTACATTTCCTATCAAGCATTGTTATCCCCTCCTTTGTTTTTCCTGTTCTATCCCTTCCTTTCCCAACTCCTCCCCCTACCCCACCAACCAAAGTTATAAAGTTCGTTTTCCACATAGTGTCTTGCATGTCTCATTGTTACTGAATGTCCTTGGATAAGTAAAATCACTCATTGCTAGTGCACTTAGATAATGACAAGACATGGAAAGACAAGGAACACAACACAGAAGTGGCAGTGTTGGAGATGCATGGCATGCCAGCACTGATTGGGAGGCAGAGGCAGCTGCTGATCTGGGCATCCGAACAGTGTTTGTTACTCCCTATGGTTCTCATAGATTGGTAGTGAATCCATCTAGACCTGGCCTTTTTGGTTTTGACAACTCTTCATTACTACATCCATCTAATTGTTGAAGTGACTATTTCCTCTTGGTACATTTTAGGAAGGTCAAAATAAAAGGTAGATCTAGGAACATATTCACTTCCTGGCATTTGATTTTAAGCATAAGTATTTCCTCCTGATTCTTTGGTTTTCATTGAGATGTATTGTGGTATTCCCTTTTTTAATTTTAATATTAATTTGAGTCATGATTCTTCTTTTTGACAAATGCTACTGGGTTACAAAGCTTATTTTTCAAAATTTGTTTCATCAAGACTTTGCACAGTTTTTTCAGTATTCATTTGATTCCTCCTCCTCACTAGTTGTTTATATTTGTTCATTTTGCATTTTTATTCTTTTCTCACTTTTAGGTTTATCATTAATCTTTTTGTGATCTCACTTTCTCTTCTCATACTCCTGATTTTTTCTCTCCAATGTACATACACGCAGCTATACTAAGTTTCTTCCCTTAGTGGCACTCTTGCTGTATCAAAAACATTCTGACATGCAGTCTAATTCATTTTGACTAGCTTGTAGGATTATTCTGATTCTCCCTTTTCTTCTTCAGTCACTGTGAATAAGTACTAGGGCCTACCCAGGTCTTGGCAAAGCCTGGTCCCTGCAGTGTCTTGTGAGCAAGGTGAGGTGAGGGCTGAGGATCTGGTAGGTCTCAGGATGGCCTGGGGCCAGGGAAGTCTTTAGGTAGCTCAAGCTGTAGGCTGCTTGAATCTCATTGAGGCATGAGGCAAGGGGCTAAGAGTACACCAGGGTCTCAGGGCAGCTTGTAACTAGGGACTGAGTGCTGAGGTGGTCTCAGGGAAGCCCAGGTTAAGGGTACAAGTGCCTGCTGAGATCTCCAGGAAGCCCTGGAGAACAGAATAATAGTCAATAAGGGTCTCAGGGAAAACCTGGGTAAAGGACTGGGGACAGATCTTAAAATAGCTGGGCTGAGCAGCTGAGGGCCAAGAAAGGTCTCCAGGCACACGAGGATGAGTAGTTGAGGAACCACCTGCTTCTCAGGGCAGCTTGGAGCCAAGAGCTGGCCGAGGTCTCAGAGAATCCCTGGATGAGTGGCCAGGTAAGTCTCCCAGGACTGCAGGACCAGAAGTCGAGGATTGGCCAGGGCCAGGGCCTAGGTTCTGTCCCAGATCCAGAGGATCCTATGGCTCATGGTTCTGAGCATGCAGAGACCACAAGAGGGAGTTGTACCCGGGGCTGGACCTGATTGGGCAGCTCAAGCCATTGCAGGGCCCCACCTGTAGTTTGTGTCCTGGCTCCCATTCCTGCCCACAGACCTCAACTCAGCTGCAGCATGCCATTCCAACTGCTGCTGTGTGCCGCCACCTGCCACCTGCCACGGCCTGCCCTTGCCTGCCTACCACAGTTCACCAAAAGAAACAGACACACTGAAAGAGAAACAGTGCCATGAGTGAGACACATCCTGACTGTTTATCCACCTGACCATACCAGTTACGGTGTGAAGAATGCTTCAAACCTCTTCTGCTTTCATGAAGGGAATGCATATTGCAAAGTCTTCCTTGTGAATATTCTATGACCAGCTGAATTGAAAATGAAGGCAGATGCATTTGTAATTACATCGTTCAATTTGTTTATTATTTTTTGAAAATGTGTTTCTGAATTCAGTGTGTTTTCTCAGATAATTGAGAGAAAATTTTCATTGTGCTAGTTAAGTTCTAAATCTTGATCTTGAGCAACTCTTTTTTTATTTTTATTTTTTATGAGCAACTCTTTTTTTTTAGAGTTAAATAGATGTTTAATACAGAGCTTACTTTCTTATAAAGTTCTAATGTGTAAGTTAAATTGTTTATATGAAACTTGCCAGAAAATAAACACAACATTTCAATATTTTAATCCAGCAAATACATGGGGAGAGGGGATATGAGTTAAAACTACAATGCACACATAGTCTGCTTCTTGGTCTAGATCATTTGTGACACTTTTCTCCTTGATGAATAAAGAGTCTGAGAGTAAAGCTAAGACACTGCTAAGGGCTCATTCTTTAATGGAGTGATTCCTATATATATAGTCTTTCAATGACACAAAAACCTTGTTGAAACAACTCTGCATTTTCTGCAATGGCAGAGAGAAAAGGGCTGTGATATTAGGAATGATGACATAAGATTATCTCCCAAACAAATCTGGCCCATTGAAAGGTGTACATCCTAGTTATAAGTGAAGGACATTGAATCAGAAAGACTCAAGTAAGGAGGAAAAGATGTTTCAAGAGGCACAGAGGGGCACAGATGCATGAAACACACATCAGGACCAGGGACAGTGCACAGAAATGTCGAAGGGGGTAAAAAGGCTTAAGAGCTGGATCAGCATAGAGTCATAGGTTCTGAACATTGTAAAGGAGTGAAATATGGATACACTTCACAGGTAAAGGCACAGTTAGTGGACTTGTAGATGAGAAATGCATTGTACGTAGTGCTGTAAAATGAGACTGAGCCAGCCTGGTAGTCTACAAAAACCCCAACATGTTCAAGAGCGACAAGCAAAGACAGGGGCAAGGACAAAGGAGAATGGGTGGTAGGACCCTCCCCAAAAGCTTCATACTCAGATTTATTCTCCATCCCTATAATCCAGTAACCAATTTTTGGTCGGGGAACTTCATAAATAGTATGATCATGACTTGGCCTGCGTCAGAAGTGTCTTCCATCACTTAACCCCAGGTGCCAGGATGTTTTCTTAGACACACTTACCTCCCAGTAGTGCTTCCATGATTTGATTACGAGGGCACCTAGGACTCCTAGGAGAGGTAAATTATTTCCTGGCAATTGAAATGCATTTTGTGAAAAACCTAAAATTTTGTTATGAACATTCTGAGCAGGGAAATAATGATCTCTAGAAATTGACAAAGGTTGTGTGAAAAAGACAGGAGTATACCGGTATCTTATTTTTCTTTGATCCTTAGAAATGTCAATTCTCGAATTGTCATTTGTAGTCACTCTCAACTGCACCCAGTATTGGCGGGCATCAGTCAGCTCTTGAAACGCTTATAGCACTCCTCTCACACCAGAATAGACACTGTCTATTCTTTCTTGGGGAAAGGTATTGGTTTCTTCATTGTCAAGAGCTTACATCTTCTTATGATGGTACTCACATCCTGCAGCATCTCCACTGTGGACCCTTCTAAAAGACGCTCCACATCTGAGATGAGCTCAGTTACCCACTCTTTTTGCTGGATCAGCTCATTTTCTGACACTGCCAGGGTTTGCAAACCATCTTCCTCCTCCCTTTTCAGCTTTTGCAGTACTTTCTCCTCCTCAGTGTCCAGGATGCCTCTCCACTGTGTAAAATCAGCCTGAACATTTTGTATCTTGCCCTGTATTTGAGTCTGCCAAGAAATTTGTCTTGTTGGAGTTCAGCATTCCACTTCTCAGATTCTTCCTTGTTCTTCCTCAGCTTGTCCAGAGCTGCCCGGAGCTTGTTCTGTGAAAGGAAGGAACCACGGCAGAGTCACTCTCTGAACTTTCTCAGCTTCTCCTCAAGGGATAACAAGGAAGAAATCAGGAAGAGTCGAGTTTACAGAAAGGATGAGCATTGTAATTAACTTCTAGCAGTTGGAAGAAAACTTATGAGCAACTCTTAAACTTTAGTTTTACCTTTCTAATGTGAGTGAATAGGACACTTGATTAGGCAGCTTTAAGAAGTCATATTGATTTTTAGAGTTTTAATTTAAAAAAATTTTAAGTGTGCATATTGAAAATGTCAGGCCATCTGTGAGAAAAGCAAATGATCTTACACCATGATGACAACTTTTATGTATTACAATAAAATTACTTTGACATGTTTACACACATACTTGTGCACAAAATTTAAAGGCACCTTTAAGTTTTTTAGAAAAAATAAAAATTGGCCATACGTTTCCTGGAATTCCAGTGGCAAAATATGTTAATGCCTATTGCATGATAGAACCGCATGGTTTATGCTAAAAATGAAAAGCAACACCAATGTACAACAAATATTTTTAAAACAATTTTGGGAATGAGACATATTAGCATATAAATTGACCTTTAAAGTAAGCTTGGTGGAAGAGTGGGGGTCATGTGAAAACCCACCATGTGGCCTTTGTCTCTTCCTAGGCAGTTATGGATCTCCAGGGCCTGTAGAGAACTGGGGGAGAGAAGAGTTCCTCCAAGGGGCCTGTAGCAAGCTCATAGAGGAGTTTTGCCTGAAGGAAGAAATTAAGCATCCAGGGCTAGGAAGGTGGCTCATTGGTAGAGCGCTTGCCTTGCATGCCTGAGGCCCTGGGTTCGATTCCTCAGCACCACATAAGCAAAAAGAAAAAAGCCGGAAGTGGCACTGTGGCGCAAGTGGTAGAGCACTAGCCTTGAGCTGAAGAGCGGAGAGACAGCGCCCAGGCCCAGAGTTCAGGCCCCACAACTGGACCAAAAAAAAAACAGCCAAAAAACCAAAAAACAGAAATTAAGCATCCAGATTCTGAAGTGAGTAGACCCAGGAAAGATAAAGGACTGGTTTATTTGAGGTATGACATATAACTGCTCCCCTTATGGGATTTTTGGGTGAGAGAAGGATTGAGAAGTAAAAAGGAGAAGCTGGCTTCGATGTGTTTGCTGGCCAGGGACTGTCAGTGATGGAGTTCAAGCAGGGCCATTAGCCTGTTGCAGTGACTACATTTAAAGCCACAGTTGCTTTACCTTTTGAGGCTTGCAACCACCCCACCTTGGGTCAGCCATACAGGCGAGCAAGTACAGGGGGAGGCACAAGTCACTTACAGCAAAGTTTAGTGTCAGAAAGCTAACAAGCTGAACCTCTCAGGTAGGGATGGCTTAAAGAGGACAGTCAGTTTGCTGACTGCAAAGGGGAAGAATGTAGTTACTGGACCAAAAGTGGAAAAAGGCTTAGGAAGAAGGTGAGCAGTGGAGAGACAGATAATTTTAGCTAAGAAAATAGTAAGCCAGAATGGCTAACCTTGATAAGGGGGGGGGGGTCCTGTGACCCTGTCCATGTCTCACCTCTCAAGGGCACAAGCACAGAGGCAGAGAGAGAGGCAAATCTTGTACTTAGATGATTTCCTTCCATTTGTCTGAGTGCTTGCAGAAATTATATAGGTTCCATAAAGTATCAGGGTCCAGTGTCCCATGAAAAGGCCAGGATTACTCATTGTCCAGTGAATACTGGGGCTCAAGTTGATTATATAAGCATCTAAACCCATGAGGATTAACATCAGGCAAAAGCTTAATGGCCTCTAGTTTGTGTAAAAGGCAGCCCAGAGGGAAATCCTGAGGAATTTGGGATTGGGCCCCTCCCATGGTGAGTGTGCAGAGTTGAGTTGATGCTAGAGATCCATGGGCATCCCCAGTGGGACTCTGGTCAACTAACAGAGGGAGCAGGCAGCAAGAGGGGTCATCACCCACAATTGCTGCATCCTGACCACAAAGGGATGCAATAAGAGGGGCCAGTCCCGTGCAATTATTTGTTCACCTGGCCTATACCAACCTTCTAGAGGCCTAAGCCTCCGAGGAAAGGCTCAGAACTCAGTACCAGGTTTTCACCCTTGTGAACTCCAATCCCTGACACTGAATGGTCACTCACCCAGAAAAAATGTCAGATTGGTCACTGGTGGATGTAAACAAAGCAATTGGTCAGGAGGAAATCACCTCAGTGGTCATTTGGGTGGATCTGAGATTGCCACCAGTTCCCTTGGGCTGCTCAAATTTCCTGAGGGGAAGAGCAAGGACCACTGGGGGATCCTAGATCTGACTGACAGCACCAATGAACACCTCAGCCCAGAAGACCACGTGGATACCAAGTCATGAACAACAAGCTTCAATGTCATCAAGCTGACAAGCTGACCCTCTCAGGGACAGCAGCCTGTCTTTGTGTAAGGTTGCCTTCTAGGGCCAGGGGCCTGGAAGCAGGGAATGCTTTGTGGTCTGGTTTGTGGAGTATGTGAGGTAGATGAAGGCAAGGAATTCCATTATGGTGGGGCTACAAATTATGGTTGCAGCTGCATGCTGTAGATAACACGTGATTCCAGGCAGTGACGTGAAAGGAAAACCAGGGCAGAACAGCCCGTTGTAGTTAGGCCTGGCCAGATCAACTAGCTTTGTGGGAGGGGCTGAGGACATGAGATGGAGGATATCAAGCCAAAATGGAGGAGGGCATGCTAACAGGCATTGCTCATGATTTAAAAATGACCCACACACTATTCTATAAACACACATATGTACACACACACACAAAACTGCTCTGCCCCCTTCTGGACTCTTAGTGTTTTCCTCCAATATTCTAGCAATAGACCCTACTGATTCATTCTCATTCTCTTTGAACTTAGTTCCTATTGCAGTAGTATATTGAATTTACATCTTCTCTTTGGAAAAGCAAGGGTTAATCCGGGGGAGAGGGGTTTCTCTGGGGAAAGAACAGGCATTTAACTGCCAAAGTGATGTCAACATAAACTGGATACAGATCAGACAAGAGTCACAATAGAAATAAGTGTTCTGTGTAGAGATCCCTGTGTCATGGGCCACACAATGCTAATACTTGATTTGAAACAGAAAATCTTCTCATATTTCTTTAATGGGTTATTCTACCAATAGCAGTTCATACAAATCATCCACAATGGACAGATCCATTAGATACAGAATATCAGACTATACTTTATGTTACATAGACCTAAGATAACCCATATTTAACTGCTAAATCACAGAACTCTGAAAGGCTATTGATTATAGCACAGACCACACAGTTGACAGCTAGAAGTTGCAATTCAGAAGAAGACATCTTTTCTCTGAAGTTGGTTCATTAAAATCCAAGCAAGAATGACAACAAAGTTAAAGAGCAGCAATTACCCTGTGGGTAATTATCCAATGGGTAGAGGTCCTCTGAATCATGCCTCCATTTTCCTTGACATATTGGAAAGAAATATCTATTTGGCCACTCCTGCAGCCCAGTTGTGTTGAGGACCAGAACAGTTCAACAGGTTCTGCTCATTGGGGGAATCAGAAGTTTTCTGGAACTTTTGTCCTTCTGGTGTACCAATTGTGTTAAAAGCCCAACAAGAACTACACCTATCCTGATAAGAGAACAAGACTGTCATACACAAAGCAAATAGCAAGATAGTGACATCAGCAACTATGTTGAACATCCCTCAGAAAGAAAAATGAACCCCATGTCACCCAGACTCTGCAAAGGCAAGTGACATCTATTCCTGGCTTTCCTATGGGCAGTGAAAGGGTCTACTGTGACCATGTGACACCTGAGACTGCACAGTAGTCACATGGTTTTTCTCTCTCCAGTCCACAGATGCCAGCAGCTCACCAAATATAAGTTCCAGATATATCTGTCCCTCATTGTGCTCATCGGGCTGAGACATACCTTTCCTGTTTGAATTCCTTGGTGGTCTTCCAAGAACAGTAAAGGAAATATTGAAAACTAAGACCATTTTGTGTAGAATTGAAAGAAGCAAGTGGTAAGCAATGCACATGACACTTGCCATGAATCCCAAGGCATTCATTGACAAGGTGAAGCCATGTTTCCCTTGGCTGTATTCTGCATTGTGCAATTCAATTATTTTCATGTCTGCCTCCCATAGTGCTCTCTTCTGTCCCTCTTCATCTTAGGAAAGAGTACAAGTAATAATTGCTTTTTCTATTTAATCCCAGCCCTGTTTACTAAATGAACCTGCTGAAAAAGCTGGAGAAAGACTCTGGCCAGGATGTGGTGCACTTTTGGAAGCTATTCTTTATAGTCAGAAAAGAGCAGGATGTCTCCCCGTATTGTGCTCTATGACTAACATTAGGTTAATGCCTTTCTAAGACCTGGCTTTCAGAAGCTACTCTCTGGCTATGAAGTTCCATCAGCAAGAATCTTGTCTCTGGGGTTCCTCTGAACATTGTGATATTACACCCATTGTACCGTAGCTTTTCCTCTCCTTTGTCTCCCACTCCATCCATTATCCATGCAAAGTGGGATCACACAATGGAACAGCTGAGGCCATTTCCTAGCAAAGGATGACCAGCCACAGAGAAAGATCCATATTGTAAAGCCTAGAAAGGGAAGGAAGCTGGGATCTCGTGACTCATGCTTTCTAGAAACCTTCTTTGATTGAAATATTCAAACTACTCTTTCAAATATTTATCTAAAGCTATGTAAAGGTTTAAGGATGTGGCTTGACTTAAAGAAACAACTGGAGAAATGAGGTCAAGCGATTAACATGAAGGGTATCCTGCCCAGAGCTCTAGGGGTTAAAGCAAAGTGTGCAAGGAAAATGGTTGGTTCAAGTTGTGTCATTCAGGCAAAAATCTCACTGAATGAGATATGTGATCTTAGTAGGGGCAATCATATTCCCAAGAGCTCGGAGACCACTGACATTTTTATGACCAATACACATCAGGCAGAAGATGTGTTGTGCCTTGGCATCTCTCCTTCTTGAGTGAAAACTTCTGGAATAGTCCTCCTAGACAAACTGGGAAGACAGCACCCCACATTGCCACAGTTTCACACAACAGCCTCCAATGTCACAACCTGCTGTGCCATTCATGAGTACATGGTCATGTACTCAAGCAAATGCAAGTCTGAACCCCCAGTACAAGCACCTGGTCAGGAGCAGTCAGCCTGTGGAGCTCCAGGCTCAGATTTGGGTCAGTGCATGTGGAACTCTGGGTAGTGACTGTCCAAGTATATACCATCTGTTTCACCCTCTGCACATATTCTTAAGAGTTGGAGGACGGGGGCTGGGAAGGTGGCTCAGTGGTAGAGTGCTTGCCTTGCATGCTTGAGGCCCTGGGTTTGATTTCTCAACACCACATAAGCAACAAAAGAAAAAAGCCGGAAGTGGCGCTGTGACTCAAGTGGTAGAGTGCTAGCCTTGAGCTGAAGAGCTGAGGGACAGCACCCAGGCCCAGAGTTCAGGCCCCATGACAGGACCCAAAATCAAAAAACAAAAAAAAAAAAGAGTTGGAGGATGTTACTTGGTTGTAATAGACAAGAAGGAATGGGCATCACAATGCAGTTTGCAGGGATGCACCTGCCCTATCCAACTAGACTAGACCCTGAGCCTGACTGAACTGTACAACCTGAGATCTTCTAAGTGATCTTGTAGCCACCGTGGGTTTCATTCCTCCACAGAACCCCAGCCCTGCCATCCTTCTCTGATGTCCCCAGTGCCAGTGTTAGGGCAGAAGCTCTTGTTCCTGGAGGTTGTGTCTACTTGGGATCTTGTTCCTGAAAGGATCCCTATTCCATCCCCTGTTCCCACCATGCCTCTGTGGGATGCTCACCTGAGATTGAAGCTATGCAGGTTCACTCTGCAGTGTAACTCTCTAAAGACCACTGTCCTAAAAGCTCCTGTTCCTGATATCTAACTCAGGATTTAAAGTCTCAGGTCTGCTAACTGACCTGAGGTCCTCCCCACTGTTTTTTGTTTTGTTTTGGTCAGTCATGGGGCTTGAACTCTAAGCCTGGATGCTGTCCATATGCTCTTCAGCTCAAAGGTAACAATCTACCACTTGAGCCACATCGCCACTTCTGGCTTTTTCTGTTTATGTGGTCCTGAGGAATCGAACTCAAGACCTCATGAATGTGGGGCCAGCACTTTACTGCTGAGTCACCTTCCCAGCCCATTCCCTACCTTTTGAACTGTAACTAGATACTCATGACCCAGACTCAGCCCTATTCAGCCCTCTGACAAGATCAGATCCACTTTTGTCTCTCATATTCATCCTCGGCCCTTCTGCAATATGATACCCTCTCTCAGGGTATAAGACCAAGAGAAGCCCCTTTCCAGATGCTGGCATCTTGATAGTGAGTTTCTAAGTCTCCACATCTGCAAAGCAGTATTCTTCTCATGATAAATTACATACACAATCTGTTGTATTCTGCTACAGCCATAAAGAATAGACTAATACTGCATGAGTAGAACACAGTATTTGTCTTTTTGTCTTTCTATAGGTCATTTAGCATAATATTAACTAGATCCATGTTGTAGAGTATCCTTTCTTTTAAGGCTGAGTAATATTTTATTATGCATAGAGCCATTTCTTGTTTATTTGGGTGTTTGAATTGTTTGGGCATTTTCACACTATTACTAATATTCTTATCATCATAAATGCACAAATATCTACTCACATTTCTACTTTTGGTACTTTGGAAGTTGTAGTGCTAGATATAATTGTATGCTTGATTTTTTTATAATTTCCACAGTAGATGTACCATTTTCATTAACACCAACATTGTACAAGTTGTGTAAGGTGAATCTTCCCAGAAGCCACATTTTAAAATACAGAATAATAGAGTCTTCATTATACAGTTAACAGGCTGCAGGCCGCCAGCTGTTACAAAGGCCTGAAACATGCAAATACACATAACACAGCTAGGAAACATGCTAAAGAGGAAAGAAATACCAAAAACAATACCAACAAGCCATTTCAGCTCCAATGGAGAGCTGAATTGGGAGGCCATGATGACTGGCGATGAGCCAGGAAACAGGACACAGGACAGGGTCACAGAGACCTACGTGGCATGGCCTCCTTCTGGCTGGGCTGGTCCAGGCCTGAATAGGGTTGGCCCAGGTGGGGCAGACCCACAGGAAATTCCCAGTCCCAGGCACTGTACTGACAGACTCAGTAACCTATCAGCCAAGTGCCCACCTCTGTCTCCGGGGACCCAGGCACACCCATCACCTGGGAGGCAGGTGATGGGCGGTGTTGTTTCCTTTCCTTTTCTTTCCGCCGCATTGTGAGACCCTTTTGGCTCCTTTTGGCCTGTCTGGCCCTGGTTCGTTCTCCTTGTTTCCAGTTGTTTTCATTTCTTCTGTTTTTTTTCGTTTTTTTTTCTTTTTCTTTCCCTTCTTTTTCTGTCTTTTTCTTTCTCTCTTTTTTTTTTTCTTTTTTTTCTTTTTTCTTTTTTTTTTTTTCTCTTTCTCTTTTTTTCCTTTTTGTGGTTCTTTTCTTTCCTTTGTTCTGGTATTTCCTTTTGATTGTTATTTCTTTTTGTTTGTTGTTTATTTTTATGTGATGTTTTTTGATGTGCTTCTTTTTTTTTTTTTTTTGTTTGTTATTTATTTTTATTCTGTTCATCGTAGTTGTTCTGTTTTTTATGGTTTTGTTGTATTTTCTGGGTTTTTTTTTTTTCTTGTTTTTTTGTTTTTCATTTTTTTTTTTTTTTTTGGGTTTGGTTTGTATTCTAGATCCATTGAATGGACAAAATTTTGATAATAATGGGATACAATTTATCTGTTTTCTCTATTGTTATTTTTATTATATTTGAAAACCATTACCAAATCCTCTACCATAAAGCTTTGACCCTATTTTCCCTTCTTTTGTAGCTTTTACCATTGCATTTCAATATTTCCTTTATCTGATTAATTTCTGGGTAGTTATCTGGGTGGTTTTTCTAACATTGTTGTTGAAAATTATCTTCTCTCCCTAGGAGATAATCTTTTTCACTCCCCATTAATATATTTGAAAATCAATATATGCAAATTCCATTCTATAGAACTTAAAGCACAAGAAGCCTTTTGTTTCACTCTCAAGTGTAGAAAGTGATTGTGAAAGTTTACTCAGTTGCTAGTGAATGCAACGATGTCATTTTACTGTCTGTTCTTTGGAAATATATCACAGAGTTCAACAGTGTCGCTCAAAATGTCTACATTAAAATCCTCAAGTAGAAGCAGTTGATAGTTGCTCTTGGGCCATCTCTCCAGGAGGTTAAGTGAGAAAACCTGCCGACTGCCTTGGCCCCACCCACATATTGAGCTTGACCAGGCTGAATGGCAGCTGCTGCTCTGAACAGCAGCCTCTTGGTTCCTACGAAAGCAACAAAAACCAAGGGAGGAATCCTGGATTTCTTTTCTATCAAGGAGCCCAACTGGAAAAATAAGTCAAGAAATAGTTAGCTGCAGGAGAAGTAGGAGAGAAGTTGGTGTTCACAAGAAATTGGAAGGCATGGGAGTTCCAAGTTATTAGTGTCTATTTACACAAAATCAGTGTCCATTTATACAAAATCTCCTCAATAAGAAGTGGGATCTGGAGGTGTGGTTCTGTGGTAGAGAGTTTACCTAACCTGTGCCTTTTACCTACACTACTGCCTGAGTAGATATCCAACGCATGTAAGAATAGAGGTGAGCCTCTTGCACAGATATCAGATTTCTCTTGAGGAGAACATTGCAGCATTAGGAGATCTTCAGATAAGGATCCCCAAAGACCAGCAAGGAGCCGATTCCAATGTAAGCACATGAGAGTCATGTAATACAAGCTCGAGCCTGGACTCACAACCATCACCCATGCAGCAGGTCAGAGTTGAGACCCCCGACCCTTCTTCTAGCAGGGTTTTTATAGGGTTTTTAGGGACTTCTATGCGTCATTGCAACACTTAAAAAATCATATCACACCGCAGGAAAAGTCATAAAATAATTCTAAAAGATGATTAGCATAACCAGTGGCAGGAACCAACCAGGTACTGGGGATTGGCTGGTTTATGGAATTGATGCTCTTTGAAATGATTGGCTAAAGCAGATGATCTGAGCAGTGACCAAGTTCTCTTTAACTTGTAGGAACATCTGGAACTTTGGGTTTTTCCTGTTATCTGTTGATTAGATGTAGTTATTGGAATTTACAGTAGAGGGTTGTTCCTGCAATTTGAGCCTGAGAGGATCAAGGGGAGTTGCTGACACATTTCCCGGACAAAATGGAATCCAAACCTATTTTGTTCTGGCTTCACAGACATTGTACTTGAGAATACACTCTCTCCTTTGCACTTGGCCCCAAATTTGTATTTGTAGCCACTTGCTTCTGTCTCTGAAGATTCCCTGTCCCAGGGACTAAAGCTATTCAACATCTCCAAAATCTCTGAACATGGTTTGGCATATGATAGTAACTGAAGTGAACAAGGTGGTGGAGATATGTAAACCATCAGACAAACATTTCAGAGAAACCCCCTAACTATCCTTTGTGATGACAGGTGAGCCTCATTTTGTATCTAGTCTAAACCTGTGCCCTAAGGAGCATAAGGATCTTATGAAGGTCTGCTTTGTGACAGTCAAGCTTGAGGTTTTGAAAGTAATGATCTTGGGGGCCTTATGTCTATTTGTGCAGTGCAAGATTGAGTATGTATATCCTGTATCATTGTTTTATATTTTTAAGATATGTATTAAATGTATGCATAGTTTGTATGCATTTTCAGTGATATTTGAAGTTTGCTTTTAGGAAGTATGGTAGGATTTTTAGCACTCTATTGTGTAGTGGGTCTTGGGGTTATCTGGAAGTATGGTGAGCATTTGAAGTTTATGTGCTAGTATTCAATAGTGTATGTCTATGTGTATATAGTATCTAAGTAAGTGTGATTCTGCATTTTGAGTCTGGTTTTGAACCTCAGTCCTCAGATCTCAACCTTCTGAGTAGTTAAGATTGCAATTGTGAGCCACTGACATCTGTCCCAATTTTATAAATGCCAGTTCTCTCATAAAAATCCTGTCTTTGAGTGAAGGAAGAGGTTCCATTGTGAAAAGAAATGTACTCATTACGTGACTTATGAAAAGATAACCCCTCTGTAAACACCATTATAATAATAAAATTTAATGATGATAATGATGATGATGATGATAATAATAATAATAATAGTGAGAGGGAATCATAAAAGGAAAAAACCTCTTTTTCAGGCAGGCTCTGGTGGTTATGCCTGTAATCATAACTTCTTAGGAGGCTGACTGTGGTTGGTCAATAAATTCCATGAAACTCTTATCGCCAATTAAACACTAAAGAAAGCTGGAACTGAAGCTGTGGCTCAAGTGGTAGAATGCTAGCCTTGAGCAAGAAAACTCAAGGACAGAGCCCAGGCCCTCATTTCAAGCCTCTGATCCAGCACACACAGATACAGACACAAATCCTCTTTTTCATCCTCTTGTTTTTCTCTTTCTTGAATATATTGGCCAGACAATATTGTCTCTTTCTTGAATATATTGGTCTCTTGTCTATTACTCTCTATAACTGAGTCATCTGTGACAGTTTTAATTTCTGATTTTTCTCTTGGTTATACAAAGCATTTTTACATGACTAAAGTTTGACAGGTGCCAAACACTTTCTCTGAGGATCTCAAAAATTCTTCCCATAGTAGATGGTTTTATTTTCTTCTCTGACAGGTTGAATATCAGGTTAAGGAGTGATTTGCTACATTCAGTCTTGTAATTAAAAATCCATTTTCCAGATCAATTACCTCTCCACAAATGTAGACAAGCAAGAAAGTTGTTTTTTGTTGTTATTGAATAGCATTCGCTTGGACTGCAGGCACATAATGAGCAATCAGAGAAAAGACTACCATTCCCATAGAGACAATCAGCTAAAAGGACTGCAGAGACAAAAGGAAGAAAAGTGAGGGAAGGGATGGGGTTGAAGTGGTTGGTGAGAATGTTAAAAGGACTGATTGATCAAGAGGCACTGTACTTATAAACTGCTCTGTTGAATGGTAACTCCTTTGTACAATTATCTAAAGAAAATGAAAATATATAAAAGAAGTCAGCATCTCCTCCTTTTGTGTAGCTGAGTGGGTACAACCAATGGAGCTATGTGAATTGTTTTTATCATCACAAGGGAAAGTAAAACTTCTCATATATTTTAAGCAAACTAGAGTCAATGCTTGGAACTGTGACAGGGTCCACAAGGCTTGAATGGTGAGTGGAGCCACTGAGCTGCAAGTCATTGGATGCAGGGGTTGTGCTCCAAGTTGGTGCCCTGCATAGCATGTGGCTGTCATTTGGAAAGTTGTCCTTCTTCCTTAGAATCACCAGCACAGATGGGAAAGAGCTGCTCTCAACTCCTCCAGACTTTTCACCTTTACAAAGAAAATCTGAGCATCCTAGACAGCAAGGATGCTAATATATGATAGAGATAGAAAAATCACATATTGGAAATGTCTCTTTCTTAGAAAAAAATGATAAAAGTGCCTGCTCGAAGTGACTTTTTGATATGAAGCTGTTAGACCACTGTCACAAGTGACAACAGGAGTGACACTGGTTCTTGGTAGTTGAGTGGGCTCCAGGTGGTAGAGCTGAAGACTCCAAGAAAGAAGAAAAGGATGCTGCCAAGTGGAGAATGTGTTTCTCCTATGATACACATTGCTTTCTCTGTGCATTTCTATACTATATATATATATATATATATATATATATATATATATATATATGGTATATATATG